GGAGGCACCCTCGATGCAAACCGCACACAGGAAAATGGGTGGGCTAGACTCGACCGGAAACCCTGGCCGTACTTTTTTACTGTAAAGTTACGAGCGACAGACAAACGGAGGATGGTTGTATTGTGACTTGTTCATCGTGCAGCGACGCGATGCCTGAGCTAAGCAGCGCTAAGCCACAGACTTCCCCAGTCTGTTGACGTGAAGTAAGAGCTAACGAGGCCTGGTTTATAAAAAAAAAAATCAATGAAAAAAGTCAGGTACCTTGCTCCATACTCTGCAGCCAAGCAAAAGACATGTACCTTGGCTTTTTCATGACCTCACACAAGAGTACCTAGATACCTCTCTCCGTACCGAGTTACTTGTCCTGCAGACGGGAGACGGAACGGCAGAACAACCTACACATACACTGCAACACGCGCCCATACGCTGGTCTCACCTCCCTCCTCATCCCCGAGTGTCCAAGCCGGGGAAGGCGATGCACCAGTGATTACGGAGTACTCCTTATTCTCATCTTTTCCCCTTTCATCTTCTCACCCTCTCACAGTCTCGCTCTCTCTCGCCCACTGCTAGCTACTGTTGTGTCTGTCTTCTCTACAGCAACTGCTTCTTGCTCGGTAAGTAAGCTACCTCGTTCACGGCACAGTCGAATCTGTTTTCCTACCTGCCTATTTACGCACTTTACCTACCTGTCTAGTGAGTGTATTTACCTGATCTACGGATGCCCTCAGTCCCAGCTGGCATGACTCCAGGGCTATCCCAATCCTTCCTCAGCCATCCCCCACTGCCTCTCTTGTTCCCACTCCCACTCCCACACCCACACTAGGCCAGGTGCCAGCTTCCACCACGTAAAGCTGCCAGCCCGCAAGACCCTTTTTTAACCATTTGCTGCCCCGTTCTGCGTCGCCGCCCTCTCCCCTTCTCCTCCCCAGCCTTCCCGTCCGTTGCATCTCTGTTTTCTCCTCCCCCCTTCCATCTTTCACTTTCACCACTCATTACCGGGGTCGTGGCTTTCCAGGCCTGCACATCTCCAACCTACAAGCGCCTTTGTTCGCGCCAAACCCCATCTCTTCCAGTCCTAACCCACCCAACCTAGGTCTCCTTCCCGAGTCCCTTCTGATCGTTAATATAATCAGCGTCGCCTCTCCTAATCCCGGTTTTCGCGAAGCAGGCAACCCCGCTCATCGTTTCCTCGTATTCCTATTAGCATCAGCTACTTCCGAGCTTGCCTCCAGCAATCATGGCTTACCGTGGGGGGCATGAGAACGATTATGATGGCCACAATATGCAGGACCTCCCTGCTGGGACTGGCAGAGTAAGCTTGAAAAGCCTTTCTCAACAACCCAAAAGCTCCTTCAGTCGCTAACTTGCTTGCCTTTCAGTACCACCTGCCGCCCCAGGACGAGGGAGTCGACGATGTTGGCCAGTCATTGCTGAGAGACCCTCACGCACCTGGCCCTTACGAGAGCCATCTCGGACCCGCTGAAGTCCCCGGCCGCCCTGTTTCCGCATACAGTCTCACAGAATCATACGCACCTGGTGCCGGTGCCCGGACACCAGTTCCCGGCGAGACGGCCTTCGCCTCTGGGTTTAGCCAGGAGCTCGACTCAGATGCCAACGGTGGCTTTGGATACGGCCGACCCGCTTCCACCGTCGACGCCGACGAGAGCTGGACCCGCAGACAGCAACCCGGCCACCAAGCTGGCGGTCTGAAGCGATATGCCACCCGTAAGATCAAGCTTACTCAGGGCACCGTCCTGAGCATCGATTACCCCGTTCCTAGTGCCATCAAGAACGCCGTCCAGCCCAAGTACCGCGACGTCGAAGGCGGCAGCGAGGAGTTTATGAAGATGCGTTACACGGCCGCCACCTGCGACCCCAACGACTTCACCCTCAAGAACGGTTACGACCTGCGCCCCAGAATGTATAACAGACACACTGAGCTGCTCATCGCCATCACCTACTACAACGAAGACAAGGTGCTGCTGTCCAGAACCCTTCACGGTGTCATGCAAAACATCCGCGACATTGTCAACCTCAAGAAGTCCACTTTTTGGAACAAGGGTGGCCCCGCCTGGCAAAAGATTGTCGTCTGTCTCGTTTTCGACGGTATCGAAAAGACCGACAAGAGCGTCTTGGACGTTCTGGCCACTGTCGGTATCTACCAGGACGGTGTGGTGAAGAAGGACGTCGACGGCAAGGAGACTGTCGCCCACATCTTCGAGTACACCTCCCAGCTGTCCGTCACCCCCAGCCAGCAGCTCATCCGTCCCGTCGACGACGGCCCCTCGACCCTGCCCCCTGTGCAGTTCATTTTCTGCTTGAAGCAGAAGAACAGCAAGAAGATCAACTCCCACAGATGGCTGTTCAATGCCTTCGGTCGCATCCTGAACCCGGAGGTCTGCATTCTCATCGATGCCGGTACCAAGCCCAGCCCTCGATCGCTGCTCGCGCTCTGGGAGGGTTTCTACAACGACAAGGACCTCGGTGGTGCCTGTGGTGAGATCCATGCAATGCTTGGAAAGGGAGGCAAGAAGCTTCTCAACCCCCTCGTCGCCGTGCAGAACTTTGAGTACAAGATCTCCAACATCTTGGACAAGCCCCTCGAGAGTTCGTTCGGTTACGTCTCCGTGTTGCCTGGTGCTTTCTCTGCCTATCGCTTCCGCGCCATCATGGGCCGTCCGCTTGAGCAGTACTTCCACGGCGACCACACTCTGTCCAAGATTCTCGGTAAGAAGGGCATCGACGGAATGAACATTTTCAAAAAGAACATGTTCTTGGCCGAGGATCGTATTCTTTGCTTCGAGCTGGTCGCCAAGGCTGGCCAGAAGTGGCACCTGTCCTACATCAAGGCCGCCAAGGGTGAGACCGACGTTCCCGAGGGTGCGGCAGAGTTCATCAGCCAGCGTCGTCGTTGGCTCAACGGTTCTTTTGCCGCCTCCCTCTACTCGCTCATGCACTTTGGTCGCATGTACAAGTCTGGCCACAACCTTGTCCGCATGATCTTCTTCCACATCCAGCTCGTCTACAACATCCTCCAGGTTCTCTTTACATGGTTCAGTTTGGGTTCCTACTATCTGACCACGACCGTTATCATGGACCTCGTCGGTAACCCTGTCGTTTCTGAGGACCCTAAACTGGCTCGTCACGGCTGGCCTTTTGGCGACACGGCGACGCACATTTTCAACGCTCTGCTCAAGTACCTCTACCTGGCCTTTGTCATCCTGCAATTCATCTTGGCCTTGGGTAACAGACCCAAGGGTTCCAAGTACACCTACATCGCCTCTTTCGTCGTCTTCGGTCTCATCCAGTCCTATATCCTGATTCTCTCGATGTACTTGGTTGTTCAGGCTTTCCAGACGCCCCTTAGCCAGCAGATCAGCCTCGACAGTGGCAAGGACTTTGTCCAAAGCTTCTTCGGCGGCACGAACGCCGCCGGTGTAATTCTCGTCGCCCTGGTTACCATCTACGGTCTGAACTTCATTGCCTCCTTCATGTACCTCGACCCTTGGCATATGTTTACCTCCTTCCCCCACTACCTTGTTCTCATGTCGACTTACATCAACATTCTCATGGTCTACGCCTTCAACAACTGGCACGATGTGTCCTGGGGTACGAAGGGTTCAGACAAGACTGAGGCGCTACCTTCTGCACAGGTCAGCAAGGGTGAGAAGGATGAGGCCGTGGTAGAAGAGATCGATATGCCACAGGAGGACATTGACAGCCAGTTCGAGTCGACCGTCAAGCGAGCTCTGGAGCCATTCAAGGAGGTGGAAGAGGTTGAAAAGCCCGACATTGAGGATTCTTACAAGTCTTTCCGTACCGGTCTGGTCGTGAGTTGGCTCTTCTCCAACACCTTCTTGATTATTGTCATCACAAGCGATAACTTCGACTCATTTGGAATCGGCGTAAGTTGCCCGCTCTCTCAGCGATATTTATGCATTTTGCTGACACCTGTTCTTAGGAGAGCTCATCCAAGCGTACCGCGTCTTACTTCAGCTTCTTGCTGTACTCCACTGCCATCCTCTCGTTGGTCCGTTTCTTCGGATTCTTATGGTTCTTGGGCAGAACCGGTATTATGTGCTGCTTCGCCAGACGGTAAGGGGCTTGGGAGTGTTGTATCCAGATGGCAGACGCGCTTTCCGACATCCTTCAGGAGGTGTTTCAGAGGGAAGACTGTATTCTTGCCAGTTTAGGCCCATTGTAACAATCCGCCGGTGGTTACTTTTGGCGTATATGTTTGGTAATAAGGACACGGGGCTCAGTAGATTCTTGATGAATTGGGTGGAAGATGAGTAAAAAAGTAGTTTCGATTAAGCAGCATTCATGGCGTTTCTCACATGAGTACAATACCTTAGGTTTATTTCCAGACAATGACCATTCCAACCATGCTGTCTAGAGTTTTCTGTGTAGTGAGTGCTTGCTTTGAGAAACCTGACAAACCACTTCTAAGCGGCGCCTCGAGTCCCTAGTTAGGCAGGCAATGAGCGACAAACGGCGTGTACGGAGCTTCTTCCTATATAAAAAAAAGGTCCCATTTTCTATGATTCGGAACTGAACCAGCGACAAACGAGAGTTGTTTTTTTGTAGCTTTTCCTGCCGAGACTATCTTCGTGGACCCTGTACCCTCAGACGCCCCTGGCCGTCCCAACCCAAGGTTCCAGATCCCCGACTGACGGCGGCCGGTAGATTCTCGGGGAAACCGATACCCGACCCTATCTTATCGCAACCTGGAAGTGACCGCATTAACTGGTGCTCAGTTGGTCCGCTCCTCCTGCCTTCCGCCGTGGCAAAGATCGCAAGACTCCGAACGGGGATAACTCTTTTTTTGACTGACTTAGTCGACCGAAAGCGACGACCCTGTGGATACCTGCATCATCCTTTCAGGTTGCATAGCCTCTCTTACGTAGTTCAGACCATACCCAGACTTTTCCCACCGACCAACGGCCTCCCCCCACCAAGAGCCTCCCCCTCCTCAGACACCCCTCCAGAGATCGGTCAAGATGTTAAAGATTTGGTCCATGGTACGTGGCCGCCGGACCTGCCCGAGCAGTCACAGAGCTGATGTCTCTATAGAAGAAGGAGCAGCAGAAGGCTGAAAATGCCGATGCTGCGGGAGGCAAGAAGAAGAAGGTGACGGCCGCGCAGCTCCGGGTGCAGAAAGGTACGGTGACCTCAGTTAGCCTGGAGAACCGCAGCTCTCGCCGCTGACCGTTATGTGCTCCAGATCTTTCGGAACTGTCTCTTGGCTCCACCATGAAGACCGACTTTCCGGATCCCGATGACATCCTCCACTTCACGCTGACCATCGAGCCCGACGAGGGCATGTACCGGACCGGACGCTTCACGTTCACGTTCGACATCAACCAAAACTTCCCCCACGAGCCGCCAAAAGTCAGGTGCAAGGAGAAGATCTATCACCCCAACATCGATCTCGAGGGCAAGGTGTGCCTGAATATCCTGCGCGAGGACTGGAAGCCCGTGCTCAACTTGAACGCGGTCATTGTCGGACTCCAGGTACGTTTATTTCTCGATTTGCTTTGATGCTGCCGGGAAGCTCTGCGGGTAGGGTGCCGGCTAACTGGTCCCTTCTACACAGTTCCTCTTCCTCGAGCCCAACGCCTCCGATCCCCTGAACAAGGAGGCCGCAGAAGACCTCCGACTCAACCGAGAAGGGTTCAAGCGAAACGTTCGGACCGCGATGGGCGGCGGCTCTGTCAAGGGACAGAGCTACGATCGTGTGCTGAAATAAGGTCGCTCTTTCAGTTGCCCGTCATCACTCCGCTTGTGGGGTTTGCGGACGACACGATATCGTTGGGACCAGACAGGAGACCCGAAAACCACGTTGATACTATGGACGGACAAACAGGCAGGGTAGTTGTGGTAACAAAAGGTGCAGTGGAAATGCGCTTCTCGAAGGTCGGTGGGCATAAAAGCAAGCATCATCGTCCGGCGTTTGGGAGAGGCATGATATCAAATTACGAAGAGGACAAGTAACTGGTGAGACATTGAACCTAGGCAGAGGGGGGAATACTTGAGAGAGACGTGTGGGTTTGATTCAAGGGTTTGGCGAACAGGAGGAGAGGAGGGACAGCGAGCTACACGTGGCTGTCGAACGAGTTGGACAGAGAGCTTCAAGAGAGGTAGTAGTAGATCCTTAGGGAATGCAAATAGCGTTGCTGTGTTACCCTCGTCAAAGCATCTGTCTAGCAAACATCACAATAAAGCCAATCAATGGGCCGATGCATCGGCCCATCGAAGCAAGAGGCAAGCTGGAAAGGAGTTCCCAGCTTCTCGACGGAGGAGTCATAGCAGCGCCGGTGACCGGTCAGGACCCCTAGAGGAGAGGCCGCAGGTGAAGCTCAACGGCCGCAGCCGGCGCCTCAGTTGTCGGTGAGATTCCACCTGCGGCCCAGTTATGTGTGACTCCTTGCTGGAAAGTGGGCTACGATGTCGGTCCGGGTGGGCTCCTCATCTTGCCCCACAATATCTGTACGGAGTACGTTGCGCAGGTGTGGTGAACACCCGCCTCGCCAGCAATAGCGCTGATTGCTCTCCACGAGTTTCTTAGGTAAGGTCGCTGTCAAATAGGAACCGGCGCAAGTAGAGGTGACCGTCTGGTCCCAGCAAAGCCCGTGCCGTCTCCAAAGTCCCCAGTACCCGTTCTCCTCCCCCTTCCCCCCTCTCCGACTTGGCGCAGCTTGGGGAGAGCACTTGGAAGGCCGCCCCCTACCGAACCCCGGACGCACAAGAAGGCTTCCCCACCAATTGGCACAGGCCAGGCCGTCAAACGCACGCAGGTTAACCCACCGACGAAAGCAAGCTGGGCCGAAGTCGGGGGCCAGCTTGCCCGTCTCTACGCCAGTAAAAAATTTCCCAATTCCAAACGCCTTTTCTCGTCGCGGAAACTCTGTCCTTCATCATCTCTCTCTTCTTTCCTTACACACGGATTCCCTCTCCACTCTCCTCATCCCCCTCCCCAAAGAACACACAGTCAAGATGGCCTCACGCAGCTTCTCCAAGGCGCTCCGCTCGCCAATGGCTCGCCAGTTGGCGGCCAAGCCTGCTACCCAGCAGCGCACCTTCGTTGCTGCCCGCAACCTCGTTCGCGCCTCTGCTCAGGTTAACAAGGCCTTCGCCGCCCCTGCCCAGCAGCAGGCTCGTGGTGTCAAGACCATGGACTTTGCTGGCCACAAGGAGGACGTCTACGGTAAGAAGACGACGAGTTGACGAGTCGGCCCTGACGGAATGACTCGCGAGAGGCACGGAGAGCAATTTGCTAATGTTGACGTCCGCAGAGCGTGCCGATTGGCCCCAGGAGAAGCTCTTGGTGAGTCACAATTACCTCAAAAACCACTTGCGTGGAAAGGGGGCAGTTGGAGCTGACAACCATCTGTAGGAGTACTTCAAGAACGACACCCTCGCCCTCATCGGCTACGGCTCTCAGGGTCACGGCCAGGGCCTGAACCTCCGTGACAACGGCCTGAACGTCATCGTTGGTGTCCGTAAGAACGGTCAGTCCTGGAAGGACGCTCAGCAGGATGGCTGGGTCGAGGGCAAGAACCTCTTCGACGTTGATGAGGCCATCTCCCGCGGCACCATTGTCATGAACCTCCTCTCCGACGCTGCTCAGAGCGAGACCTGGCCCGCCATCAAGCCCCAGCTCGTCAAGGGCAAGGTGAGTGTTTCCCTGAGTAACTGACGGGGTCAATTGGCTCAAACTAACTCTTCCTCTCCAAGACCCTCTACTTCTCCCACGGCTTCTCCCCCGTCTTCAAGGACGTCACCAAGGTCGACGTCCCCACGGACATTGACGTCATCCTCGTCGCTCCCAAGGGCTCTGGCCGCACCGTCCGCTCCCTCTTCCGCGAGGGCCGTGGCATCAACTCCTCCTTCGCCGTCTACCAGGACGTCACTGGCAAGGCCAAGGAGAAGGCTCAGGCCCTCGGTGTCGCCATCGGCTCCGGCTACCTCTACGAGACGACGTTCGAGAAGGAGGTCTACTCTGACCTCTACGGCGAACGTGGCTGCCTCATGGGTGGTATCCACGGCATGTTCCTCGCCCAGTACGAGGTCCTCCGCGAGCGCGGCCACTCCCCCAGCGAGGCCTTCAACGAGACCGTCGAGGAGGCTACCCAGTCCCTGTACCCCCTGATCGGTGCCAACGGCATGGACTGGATGTACGAGGCCTGCTCCACCACCGCCCGCCGCGGTGCCATCGACTGGACCCCCAAGTTCAAGGACGCCCTGAAGCCCGTCTTCAATAGCCTCTACGACGCTGTCAAGGATGGTTCCGAGACCAAGCGCTCCCTCGAGTACAACGGCCAGAAGGACTACCGCCAGAAGTTCGAGGCCGAGATGGAGGAGATCCGCAACCTGGAGATCTGGAGAGCCGGCAGAGCCGTCCGGTACGTTGACATACCCCGACCCACCCCCGCACCCCTTGAGGCCACCATTAGCTAACGTAAATTGTTTCCACAGCTCTCTGCGCCCCGAGAACCAGAAGTAAACGGTTCGGCATTGTATTTTTTTGCTTTGGGAGAAGATGATGAAGAAACATATACTCGGGATTGGGCCATTTCCTAACCACTGTGCCGGGGACGGGGGACTTTTGTACTTTATATGACCGGATTCGAGGGGATCTGGACTTGGACAAAAGTTTGCATCTTGACTTTTTTTGGGATCCTTCAATACCAATTTTTTTTGCTTTCCATGAATGAATGCGCGCGATTTTGATGCTGTCCCAAAAGCACCCAAAAGATTGGAAAAAATGAAAAAAGTTAGGTCGGGCGGCTTATGCAGGGACCACCACATGGGCTCTGACTCGCCGACGGCCGTCAAGACTTTCCCACAGTCTGCGTTAGCGGGCACGACGCAAATTGCACCCCCCAAGCATCCCGCTTTTATTTTTATTTTTTATATACAGAAAGAGAGGGAGCGCACACGTCAGAATGGTCGATGTGGTTGCAACAGATATAGAGCACTAGGCGTAGCAACTAGGAGAGTCATGTCCGAAATCCCCGCCAGTCATGGTTTATAGGGAGGTCTAGTTACGACAATGCATGGTACTGCGTTTGCATTCACCGATTTAGAAACCTTTCTTGTGTTGAGTATTGTGCATGATACTTGAACTGTGTTTTTCTGACCGAGTTGCTATCGTTGTGTGCGAACTCATGAGGGACCGGCCTTGGTAACGCAGCTCGGTGGGCGATGTGGTTCATCTCGACGCAGGTCGTTTCCGAGGCAGAGAGTGATGTGCTGGTCCGGCCAGGCTCGGTGATTGAACATTGGATGCACAGACTACACACACAACGTGAGGGGCCAGTGGTGAATATGCAGCTGGCGTAATGCTACCCTCGATCCGGGAGGCGAGGGGGGTTCATTATCGTCCGATGCCGTCCTGTGGGAACGTGATCGGAAGCAGTTGAATGGCGACTCGGAAAGTATTGGACCACCATACCTCGCCGATGGGGCGATGATGAGGATAAGGTGGAGGTTCAGAAGCAGTTATGATGGCTGTTTCCATCTGGAACTGCGTGCGAAACTAGCCTTCGCCGTGCTGTGCATTGCATTCCGTTGCCTCTCTGGTTGGTCGCCACATGCTCTCCTTTACATGCGTTCAGGAAGATCAAACGCGGCCCGGAGTCAATGCCCTTCCTCCTTGAAGCTCGCTGGGAAAGCCTAAACATCAGATGCTGGGGGCCTAATCAGTGGCTGCAAGCAAGAAACAAAGGCTCGGGTGCAATGGGACATTCCTGGCGTCGGTCGGTGGGAGCAGCTTGAAATACAGAAGGATTCCCTCCTCGTCAGCGGGCATGCCTTGGCTCCTACAAATGACTTTGGAAGCGAGCCTCACCGAGCTCTCCTCTCTCGGTGACGCAGGTGAAGCAGGTGAAGCAGGTAAGCATGTTGTTTGCTGTAGCGACCACCAGGTGGAGCCCCACACCCCCCTTTGTCTTGTCAGGCAGGGCAGGCGTGCATGCTTTCGGTAGTGGTTGCTCTGTCAACTGCAAACAAGCCTGGCCCCCCTTCCCACCTTCCCACCCACCACCCCCTTCATCTCACAAGCGAGCCCCGAAATGGGTTTGTGGTCGGCATCCCGTCGAAATATCAATTGCCTAGTTGACGACTTTGTCTTTTAGTTTCCCGCGCTTCCCAACGCTTGTAAAACCTACAGAGATCCTTCTAGCTGTCTTTGGCGAGCCCGCGCACAATGACGCCCCTGTCTCCAACAAACGAATCCAGACTGAACATCGATACGACCCTGACTGAGGCAACAAACCGCGGCTTCTTTGAGGTCCACACCCGTCCTGAGACAACCACGAGCGACGGTAATGATAGCGGAAGCGACAGTCCCTCAACCACCACCACCACCACCACCACCACAACCACCGCTCCCTCTTCGCTCTCTCTAAACGACAGCAGCACCCGAGAACTGGAGAACATGCCACCATCTCCTCCCTCGGAATCCTCGCCGTCGCCGCCGCCCTCCGCGCCTGCGACGGCGATAAAGCCCCAGCGCCATTCTCGCGTAATGTCTGGCACCGCACCCTCACCGCTCAAAATCCTCGCCGGCTCCGAGACATCGGAGAAACATGCGCGGAGCCCACTACGCAAGACATTAATTTCCCCGGACAAAGTCAAACGCTTCCCGGTCAGGATCAGCAACCCGTCCCTCGACTCGGCCCAGCGGACCGTCTCCCCTACTCCCTCTCGCGAGCGCACCGCGAGCCTCGACGACGTGATGCACAACAACGAGGGCCTGAAGCACGCGATCCAGATCTTTGAGGACGACGACACAGAGCTGGACAACGATGAGACAATTGGCGACGCGAGCACGGTAAGCGCCGGCGAGGGCGACCACCAGTACCACCTCGAGATGGGCAACGGCTACGAGGACCAGAGCAGCCTGGCCCATCCCGACGAGTCCATGATGAGCACCTTCAGCGCCTTCTCCGCTGTGCCCAACCTGACCATGTTCTCGAAGCTCGGCCAGACGCCGACGAAACACGCGAGCATGGGCGGCATGACCCCGCGGGGGAGGCCCGAGACTGTGCACGAGCAGACTCCGCGGCAGCACTCCGATTCTGATGGGAACACGACCAACCTGTTGGATTTCACGGCCAGCCAGCGGTTTCCGCACAAGTCGCCCGCCAGGCGGGACAACGCATCACCGTCCAGGGCGAACCCTAACGCTACCCCCGCTCGCCAAATGTCGAACCTACTCGATTTTGACATCCCGCCCCTACCCACCCCCCGTAGCATCCCCACCATCACGCCCAGGGAGCTCGAGAGCCTCAAGTCCAATTTCCTGTCCGAGATCAGCAGCTTGAAGGCGTCGCTGAGCGGCAAGGAGGCCGAGGTCCTCTCCCTCAAGACGGCCGTCGGCGATGCGGAAAAGCGCGTCGGCGAGAGCCTGGAGCAGGCCCGCGAGGAGCGGACGCTGCGAGAGCAGGCCGACGAGGAGAAGGAGATGTGGGAGAAGAGCAGCCGCGAGATGGAAAAGGTCCTCCGCAGCGTCAAGGAAGAGATCACCCACACCAACCGCGAGCGCGAGGAGCTCGAGTCAAAGCTTGCCGAGTGCGAGGGGCGACGTGAGGCCGCCGAGACTATGGCTCAAGAGGCCGAGAGCAAGCTGGCCAGCTTCCGCGCCGGCAAGTCCGTCGGAGACGACAAGCCCTCCTCTTCGCCCAATAGGGGCACGGCTGCGACCTCCAAGGAGGTCGAGATCGCCGTCGAGCGCGTGGCCCGCGAGCTGCACGCGCTCTACAAGGGCAAGCACGAGACCAAGGTTGCCGCGCTCAAGAAGAGCTACGAGACCCGCTGGGAGAAGAAGGTACACGACCTGGAGGAGAGGATCCAGGAGCTCATGGAGGAGAACGAGAAGCTCCGCCGCGACAACACCATCACCCGCATTGACCCCGCGCAGGTCGCCGCCGAGCAGGAGTTCAAGGCCCAAGCCGTCCGGGACTCGGCCCACATCAAGGAGCTCAGCGCCGACGTCGAGAGGCTCGAGGCAGTCGTCATGTCGGTCAAGAGGGACAACGCGGAGCTCCGCGACCTGCTCGCTCAGGAGCGCGTCGAGAAGGGCGAGCTGGTGCAGCTCGCCGAGGAGATGATGTCGATCCAGACGCTCCCCCCGACGCCGGCGCCAGCGCCGACACCCAAGCCCGCGCCGACGTCCATCGCCTCGCGGACGCCTGGCCCTCCAGCTAGGAGCCACACGGAGAACAACTTCCGCAGCAGCATCGGTCGCGGCTCGGGCCTTAAGGCGCCCGGGTCCATCGCCGCGCGCGGGTCGGTACACGAGCGCACGGGCAGCACCGGCCCCCTGACTAAGGGCCTGCCAAGACCGCGGCCGATGAGCGAGTTCGGCCCGCGGAGCGGTATCATGAGCTCCATTGAGAAGATGGGCAACTACCGCGGACGAGGGGACTAGGTCCCAATCCGCCATGAACTGAAGCTTTGCACTTTTTATTTTATTTTTAACATTTACTACGACGACGAACGGAACGAAACCCAACGATGAACGGACATGGCATTCCAAAGGCGGAGAGAGTGAAAGAGCAAGAGGGGAGGAAGAGAAAGAAGCATTGACGTAACGAACTGGCGTCCGCGGGTCTCCCTGTTTTCTGAGCATTTTGTTTTCCCTGCCTTGGTTCTCATGATTGGAACAAAGGGAGGCTTTGGCTTTGCATCCTCTCTATGTACGACCGTCTGGGGCCGATACCAAGATGGAGAATAGAGAGGCGGGACGACTCGAGGTGTGGCGTTTTTTGTTTTCACCATGTCCTACTTTTGTATTCCCTCTGTCGGTTGGACTTTTTTTTCTTTTCTTTCTTCTGTCTTTTTATTCTTCTTCTTCGGGTCGTGGTATTACGGGTTTGCCGAGTGTTGTTTGATCTTTTGGAGTCCGCAAAAGGAAAGAAGAAAAACACACACACACACACCAAGCACCTGCTTATCCCAGTAACACCCTTCCCCCTCAATTGGCTTCGTTAGCTGGTCTTTTTTTCCGGCCACGACGGCCTATTTACATCCTCCTACTCCCCCCCAATCACCATAACTTTTTGAATTGATAATGTTCAGATTAAGCGCGTATGTCTCCTGGGTTTCCTGTGGGGTATGTGTGTTAGTGTATGATATGCGTTGATGACGGGCCCGGAGCCCATTTGCTGTCGTGTTCTTGTGTGTGTACATGAGTGTGGTGTACGGTTCGGTTTCCAAAGGGTTTGGCGGGGAGGGATGCCGGTGGGTGTGCTTCTACTCGCGGGGCGTCAGCGTAGTCTTTCTCTCTCTCTCACGCCAACTCAGAGAGTGTGAGCGCGAGTAATACAACCTTCTTGGTCCTCTGCCGCGTCTCGTCTTCGTCGCACACGGGGTCCGCGAAACGTTCGGCATGCCTTTCTGATTCGGCGAGGAAGACGTTCAGGCGGTTGGAGGGGGAGCGGAGGCCCGGACGGGCCGGACCGCCCCACCACCAGCGGCGGACGCGAAACTGCCAGATATGCCTCTGTCTCTCTCTCTGTCTCTCATGCATCTCGTCTTCACGGAAAAAGAAGGGGTGGGAGGAAAGGGCCATGATTGCCGTCTCCCCCCCCCCCCCCCCCGGCCGAGTCTGAAAATGGGAGCCTAGGACATAGGCCGATGACGCCGGATCCCAAACCGAGTCGCTCTCAGGAGCCTCATCCCCGGGTACAATACGCTCCCCCCGTACAACCGGGGACGGGTCTGTACTGACTTTAACGATTCTTGTTGCGCACCTCTAGATGCTCTTCTGATATATCCTAGTGTAAAAAAATAAAAATAAAAATAGCAGCCTGTTAGCGAAACCAACCCCTTTCCCTACCCCCTTTTCCCTGAAAGGATGGCTAGATGTACAAACAAACCCCTTCTTGGTTTATTCTTCTTTGGTTTGGTCTGATCGAAGCAGTTATAACAAACTCTGTCTCCCACACTCTCTCCCCCTCTCTTCCTTCACTGTCTCATGGGCCCCGACTTTACCTCGCTGAAAATCAGACTCTCTCGCTTCCCCTCTCAAACGCTTGTGAGCACCCCATACGTCATCCGCACGCCATCGCGCCCAGGCACCTTAGCCTGCCTATCCCTGTCTACGTCCACCGGTGCTCATCAGTGTGATCTTCTGCTTCTTCTTCTTTCCCTTGCCACCGCCAGCACCACTACCACTACCCCTACCGCCACCAGCACCTATCCCTACGGGGGTACTGCTGCTCGAAGGTCCCGGCTCGGCCACACCGAGTGCCTCCATCTGGAAAGACAGCTCGGCGGCGTCAAGAAAGTCTTCCTCCTTCAACCACCCATCGTCAACTTGGCGAAGGGAAGCCGGGGCAAGATCCGGCGACCCATGCACAACATGCGTGCCCCACACGGTCTTTTGTGTGGAAGGGCTTGTCGAGATGGATGCCAGGTGCTCGAAACCCGGACGAGGATCCGGCGGCGTGGCGCCGGCATGGCTGGTGAGGGGCTGGAATTCTTCCAGGTTCAAAGCGGGGACGTGCTCTTCCTCGATGGGGCCATACTCGCGCCTCATGGCCGCGGTGCTCTTGAATTGGGCAGCTTCAATCCTTTCGGACTGAAGCCTCTCGCGTTCCTCCTGTACGGCCTTGTCGCGATTCCGCTTCCTCCGCCGGCCGATTTCGTCGGCAAACTTTTCGAGGACCTCTGCCGGCACGATGTCCGTCCAATCGCATTCGAGAAAACTGATACGACATCCGTAGGGGAGATGCCCCAAGTACTTGGCTCGCTTCCGTTGCACTTCATCCAACACATGCCCGGTCGAGATGTGCTCAACCCGGGGCAACAACGTCGTCGGGAATGCCGAAAAGTCGCCGTACTTGGTCTTGAGGATCCTGATATCGAGAGCCGAGAGGTAGAGATGCGGTTGTGATGAGTAGAAGTAGAAGTCGGGCTGGACAGTTTTGCTCTGGCCCGGCTTCTTGTTCGGCAGCATCGAGTCGTTCTTGCCCAGGTCTTGGACCTTCTCCTTGGCTGCATTGATAGCCCGTATAGCCTTTTGTGTCCATTCGTCGTCCTCGTGGTACAAAAGCTGGTCCTCTGTTCCCTGCTTCTGTAGCGCCTCAATTTCCTCATTGTATTGCTCCGCCATGTAGTCTCCGGTTCCCTTCATAATCCTGGCATAGTCCAATACATTAGCCGCAAAGTGCCAAGGCACATCATCCGCTACATTGAGCGCATCCGAGCCATTCTCCCACGGCAACGCGAGAGTCGACTTGGCTGTCCGGGCCATCAGCCGGAGCACCACGTCGTCCCCGACGCGAGGTAGGGGGCTCTCCTGTCCCGCATAGAACCGCACGGGCCGTGTCTCGTGTAGGTAAACGCTGTCCTCGCAGAGAGGGCATCTCTTCCATCTCGCACCCTTGCCAGGCTTCAATTCCTCGTCTGCAGAGTTCATGAACCGAATCAGACAGGGCAGGCAGAAGATGTGTCCGCACTTTGCCATCCTCGGCGCTACCGGCTCCGACAGGCAGATCGGGCAACTGGCCCCCTGAGACTCCGAAGAGGCCAGGATCTGCAAAACGTTGTTCCAGTCGATGTGCACGTCGGCATCGGCCGCCTGGCTGGCATAGTTGCCTTCCGGCGACACGACGAATCTGTAGTTCGCATGGACGTATCTCGCCTTGTCCACAGCATGGTGGCCCGAGCCGGGTCCCCAGGTCGGGTTCCGCCTGTAGTTTCTAGCATACGAGTTATGGTCGGCGTAGGCTCGCGGTGGCAAGCTGTAGTTGAGCAGGTGTGTGATGGAGGTCTGGCCTCGTCGACTGGAGGCATTCCGCAGGGCTCTTGCCTCAGCCATGGCGTCGTCGTCGTCAGGGTTTGAGTGTTGTCTAACATCACCCAATCCCGGTCGCCGCTGCATCTTGTGTTGTTTCCGAGAGCCCTGGCCCTTTCGTGGTGTGGCGTGAGGAAGTGAAGGACTGGCTTGGGAAGGTCGGCGGTTGGATTCGAAGCTCGTGGTTACGGGGCCGGGTTGAACCGAAGGCGAATGGGAAGTCGATGCTGAAAGGGACTTGCCCAGGTTAGACGGTGTCGAGCTCATATTTGGCTACCCGTAGGTCAGAACAAAACGATTCACGATCGTCTTCCTACTGGTGGAAGCTATTGTCGACTGGGTCGCCTCCCAGGTCAATGTCGTGATGCAGTCTGGGGCGAGGCAAGGGGGGAGGGAGAGAGGAAATAGCGAGCCGGGAGCTAACAGGCACAGCCGCTTGATCCAGAAGTCCGAACGTGAGGAGGTTTATCTAAAGATTGAGACTACCGGGAGCTATGCTCCTCGGCCGAGGTGGTGAGAGGAGATAAAAGAAGATGCTGTTTGTAGAACAAGACGGGGGTCCAAGGTGGACGGACCCCATGAATGATAGGTGGGGGGATCAGGTAACCGGACGTCGAGAGGATGCAGCACCAGAGCAGCCGCACTACGTAGAGTCATTGGCGGCGGGGCAAATCGAGGTCGCCGTGACGAACTCTGAGGGAAAGCTCGGCATCCGGTGGGTACGTGCCCGATCGAGCATTGGATCAGAGCGTCACGTGACGAGACTAACTTGCTGATCTGTGCTTGCGTAAAACGCCGACAACATGCTGCGACTTGCATAACATTGACGAGATCAATGAATTGACTGCGCTTGCGTAATTGATGGTAATGTGCTTTCAATTGCAGCTTCTAGGTTCAGTCATAAAATTTCTACCACGGCCTTACTAAAGCCATACTCCAGGTCACAATGTTAGCATCGCCATCACCAGCGGACACCACTCATTCATCGTACGGGCTCAATTCATCATATGCAGATTAGACCCCAACGAGGTATTATGGTACATGACAGTCCGATGCAGATGAGCCGCGAAGTACCACAAAAATCAAGAAGAAAACAGGAGCAAAACCCGGACAGAGGCAGCAGCGCACATCATCCTCGATTAATTTTAATTGGCCCAAGAGAAATGGCCGTGCTTCCAACGTCGTCGACATACAACTGCCATGCCTCATTCTACCTCTTGAGCTCTTGCACATGCAAAGTGGACCAGGGGAATCATAGAAACGACAAACAACCCAAATACGCAGCACCCTGACAAGAAAAACCATGAGAACCGAGGTGAAAGACGGAGCCTCCCATCCACACGCATGCTAACGGCTAACGTCATCATTATTTAGCCGCTGACTTGCTGTGCACCTTGCTCTTCAGCTTGCCAATAAAGGCACTGATGCGGTTCTTCTTCTTCTTCTCGGCGCCCGACGGGCTCTCGACCGCCTTGCTGTGGCTTGGTGCTGTCGACTCGGGAACGGAGGAAGGAGCCTTGGCAGGGGTTGTGGGAGCTTCGGGCTCCTTGGTGGCCGCAGGAGTGGTGCCGTTGGTACCGTTGACGGGTGCGGTGGTGGGGGCATCGACGGGGTGAGCACCGTTGGCGCCGTTAACCTCCTTGGGCTCGTCTGCGGTGACGGCGTCCTTGACCTCCTTGGTGGCCTCAGCCTCTTCCTTGGCGGCCTCGACCTTGGGCTTCTCAGCCTCTACCTTGGCCTTCTCGGCTTCCTCATCGACGGCGGGGGCGGCCTCGACCTCCTTGAGGAGCTCGGCCTCAACCTCCTTCTTCTCGATGACAGCCTCAGTGTTGGCGGCGGCCTCGGGGCTTTGGCCAGACTCGGCGATAGCCTCCTTGACTACGGTGGGCACCTCGGGAGCAACCTCCTCGCGGGTCTCCTCCTTGGTCTGACCGCCAATGGCCTCCTGGGCGCTCACGGGCAGGCTCTCCTTGACAGGCTCGGGAAGCTGGGCAGCAGCTTCGGTAGCGGCAACAGAGGCCTGGTTGATGGCGGGGGCAGTAGCCTCAACAACGGTGTCCTTTGCCTTGACGGCGGCGGGGGCAACGGCCTCGACAACGGTGTCCTTGGCGTTAATGGCCGCGGCAGTGGCAATACCAGCAGCGGTCGCAGCGGTGGCAATCACAGTGCCGGCAGCCTCGGTCTTCTGGGTGCCAAAGCCGGAGGTGCCCTCGGATGTTGAGGGGGCAGCAGGAACCTTGTCGAGAAGCTCATCCTCGACGGCGGCCTTCTCCTGGACGGCCTCGGGGTTCGCGCTAGCCTCGGGTTCGGCATGGGCCTTCTCCTGGCTCTCCTTGACGACCTCGGGGACCTCTGCCATCTTGGTCTCGATGGGGACCTCAGCGGCCAGAGCGGCAGTGGTGGAAGTAGGGGCAGCGCTGTTGATGGTGACATCCGCGGGCGCAATGGGCAAGCTGGACTCGGGGATGGTATTGCTGGTGACGGCGGGGAGGGTGGTCTCCTCCTTGGACAGGCCGGGCAGAGCGCTAGAGTCCTCGTAGGACTCCTTGTCAAGCTTGACCTGCTCGTTGATGTCACCAGCAGTGGCAGATGGGGGAAGAGGTTCGCCAGGGGCGAGGGTCACGGGCTCAGCGGTGACATCTTGTGCGGGGAGAGGGTTGACGCCCAAGGACTTCTCGAGCTCGTTGGCGGGGGTGATGGGGAAGCCACCGGGGATGTCGGAGGGGGTGGCCTTGGGGAGGTCGTCGGCCTTCTCGAGGGGCACGTCCTTGGCCAGGGCGGCGGTAGTAGATTCGGGGGTGACGGTGTTCATGATTGCGGCCGAGGTGTCCTCCTTGACAATCTCGTCGGGGGTGAGGAAGTTGTTTACGTTGCCCTCGTGGTCGGGTTCTTGAGGTGCGGTGTGGTCTGTGATCCAATTGTTGTCGACAACAAACTATAGAGTGGGAAAGGGGAAGCAAGTCAGTAAAATTGCCAAAAGAAGAGCACGATGACGATGTTTTTAAGCGAAAAACTGGTGGGCAGCTCGATGGTCCGGTGATGGTGGTGGATGGGTCCCGGGGAAGATATGACGACGCGCGGCGAACCAGAATGGAGAGATCAGCTAGCCGGGGGTAGGGGTGAGGGGTGGGGGGGGGGCGGCGCGCGCGCGATCTGGGTGATGCCGATGGTTATAAAGGCAGGTGAGTCGTAGCGCGAGATACGAGATCCGCCAGGTCAGGTAAATTGACAAGGGGGAGGGAGAGGCCGTTCCCTGGCTTTCCTGGCGGCGCTACCTGTGCCCTGGCCATGGGAGGGCGGACGGTCGGTCATAGCTAGTGGCTGTTGGTTCCTAGCCCCCAATGCTCTCTTGCTCTTGCTCATTGTTCTTGCTCATTGTTCTTGCTCTTACTCCCCTTCTGCGTCTGCGTGTCCTGGTGTGGTGTGCCGCGTTTGGTGGCATCTCATCTGAGGGATAGCCAGAAAGGCGACTGCGCCCCGATGTGCTAGACATTCTGGCATGTTGCTGTGAGATGACAGGTTGCGTTGGTCGGGATGGTTTGGTGGCTTGCTGGTGATTCCTGCCACTCTCCGCTCTCTTTGGCGTCGCAATTTGCCGGAAGCCAAATACAGCTACGGAGGCGACATGGGCTGCATGGGGGGACCCCAGTCTAGTGCCACTGTTTTCGCTCCCCACAGTTGAGAAAAGAGTAGGTAGGTAGTGAACCTGGTGAACCTGGAAAACCTTGCTCGTTGCTTTTTCCTTTTTTCTGGACCACGGAAAAGCGGGGTTCCAATATGTGGTTGTGCACCGTCCAGTTGTGGTTTGTCTGCCTGCGACGGTGACCGTGACTGCGACTGCGACTGCAACTACGCGGCTTCCGCCAGCCAGTGCAGACAATGAGCCAATGCAATGCGTGTAAGCCCCTCCCTCATGTTGGGCCCATGGCATCGGCGCCGCCGCCGTGCTTCTGTGATGCAAGAGATTGCTGCTGGCTTGCGTCATACGGGACCGGGAGGTTCGGCCACCAGGAAAGGACACCCGCGTGTGAGCGACTCATTTTGGGAAGCTCTTTTTTTTTCTCTTCTTCTTCCGGCCACCCTCGTCTCCAATCCACCCGTTACAGCGACATGCAGGGCTGGCCCAGGACAGGCAGGTGTGTGAAACGCAAGGAAGGCTGGATGAAAATTACCAGTGTCAACGGAACAGCAATTGTGCAGAATGGCCAACACCTGGCAACCTTGCAAGAGAAGACCAGAGAGTCCGAGAGCCGAGACCCACGGCAGACATTGTTGGTGGGGTCAGCGCGGCGCAAAGAAGATTGCGTCAGTGGGGAGGGCCTGGATAAGGAAAATTGCGAAATGGCGATGGAAAGCCCCATCATATGACGAGCAGCAACCGAGCTGTGGTGTAGTTGGTGTAGTGTCGGTGTGTGTGTTTGTGTCGTGCTGACGGGGGGGGGGAAGGAGAGCTGAACCTGGAGCTGTCCAGGCAGGGGGGGGGCGGAAGCTTCCATCACCAGGTGGCCTAGCAGCACTCTCCCCCCTCCAAGACGGGGAAACAGCGATTGCTGAGCAAGGGACCTGGAAGACGCACGGATGCTGTCGCGGGCTGAGCTGCTTGCGATCGGAACCTTCGCGTGTCGCTCTCGCACAGTTGCAGCTGCCCACCATATCTACCCCTCCATGCCGTGCCCTCTTTCAACGGCACAACGACACAAGTGCGTAGTAATGGGTAATCCGGAGTCGCCGCAAGTGTTTGGTGATCCGAGTCCGGGTGGGATGATCCAATGGTTCAAAGGGTAAAAGAGAAATCGCACTAATTGGCGGCTACGAACCTTGTAGTAAATCTTCTGCGAAGCATCGGGCAGGCTGACGGTCTTCTCGAACGAGTTACCGACCTTGTCCAGCTTCTCGCTCTTAGTCCAGTTGTCGAAGGTGCCGGTAACATAGACCTCCTCGGCTGGGTGAGCCCTATTGTAGACGACAAGGTTAGCAAGGGGTTTTTTCCTTCTTCTTCTTTTTTTCTTTTTTGAAGTCCTTGTCGAATGGCTTTTCTTCTTATCTCCCGTCTTGTCCTTCCTCGCCGGAGATGATGCTGCCATGTCGCGCGTAGATGCGCCGTGAGCGAAACTAGATTCTTTATGGAAGAAGGTCCGCATTCCACAGGCTCGTCGACGGAAACATGCAGGCCCGCCACCATTCCAGGAGGACGACAGAGAAGCTCAGCCAGCAGCAACGCAAGGAAGGGCGCAAGGTCTCTGTCTTCTCATTCCATGACGAAGCAAGGAGAAGCTGCTCTGCGCTGGGCCGGCGGGGAGAGAATCTGCGGGCGGGGCAGGTGAGGCATACCAGGTAAACTTGTAAGTGCCCATTCTAACGGATTTGACGGGGTTCTCTTAATGGTCGGTCTTGGTTGGATGGAAGGGGCAATTAGAATTACTCGGATCGGCGTCAGAGGGTTCGATGTTGACAGGAATTATGCGAAAAGAAAGACAGCTGGAAGCGCGCGCAACGGAGAAAGAGAGAGAGGGAGAGAGGAGGGAGGAAGACAAGGAGGAGGGGGGAAGAGGAGGTAAAAGTTGAGACTGAATTGAGCAGCGAGAACCCTCCTTCAAAAATTGCGCGAGTAGCCGAGACATGACTGCTGGGGCCGGGGGTGAGGGGGAACTGAAAAGTCGACGGGGCAAATACTACCCCAAAGGCAAGCAAGCAACCAACCTTCAGTAGACTTACCTCTTGGTCAGGTACACACCACAGGAGCACCTCGTCCCTCGTCCGGCGCCAGCGCCAGCGCCCGTCGTTGCGCCGGACGGACCGTGGGCGGTCTGGAGCCTGCGGGCTGGGCTTTGGCTCCACTATCCGTCCTTTCGCTGCGCTTGCTCATCAGCGGTGTGTCACGGGGGTGGAGGGGACGGATATGACGACAGACAGTTGAGACAACCTTCCGACTTGGGCGCTTACACCTGACCTGGTCCAAGGTTACTTGGTCAAGGATTCAGGTCGCTTTCTCGGTCGGTCGGTCGGTCGGTCAATCGGTGAAGAGAGTCAGTCTATGTAGGTATTCCACCATGGTTCTTCAACGGCTGCAATGCTGTCTCTGAATCGGGTTTCCGGCATCCATCCGTAGTGAGGCCCTCTCTTGCTTAAGCTTACTTGCCTAGGTAAGCAGGTGTAGCGTAGCCACTGCATTGATGAGATACTACGCAGAAAGGATACATAGACCAATTCCGGCACATGAGTAATCTGAGGTCCAGCAGGTCCAAAAATAATCCCAAAAGCCCCGTGGGCATCGTTAGAGAGAGAATCGCTGTCACAGCGTCGCAGTGTCGCAGAATGGGACAAGCACTGTAGCACCTTCCCCCGGCGAAACTCTGAAATCATACGTCGGACCTGCCTGCCTGCCTGCCTGACTTCCTGCCTGCCTTATCAATTACCTTTCGACATACCTAGTAACTCTTAGAGACGTGGCAACCGGCCAGGCTAAGACCACATAGAGGATAGAGCTTCCAGAGGAAGGACAGACAGACCCCACTTCACTCATGAATCCATCCCACAATGCAAGCAAGTACACTACCTATGCCTATGCCTACATCGCACATCAAAGTCAAAGGCAGGTAAGCCTGAGGAACCCACGCCTAAGCAGCCACTCATGTATCGACACCCAAAGAGCCATCTGGCATGCGCCAATGCCGCATCCATCCTCCTTGATCCACTTCCACGCCGGCAAACCAAATACAGCAACCATCATCATCATCACCATGATCTATCTGCGAACCCCTCGACCCCCAGCCTCCTCAAAGAAGCTCCCCCCTGCTTCACCTCGCCTCCTCACCGTTTCTTGCCTATCTTGCGTCGCCTCACCTTGCCTTGCCGAGCCCCAGGACCGTGCCAACGCTGTGCTCTTCACGCCTGGGACGAAGCTAGCCTTGCCGCTAATCTGAATGGCTTGGAATATTCAGGCACGACCGCAGGAGACAACACCGCGCAAGGCACGCCGCCAGCGTCTTTGTCGCCATGCCTGTGGAGTCGACGACAGAGTCATGGCCCAATACGACTTTCCGCACTTCTACCACGCCTATCCAGGGGTTTCTGCGCCTAGGTAGTCATATCTGTCTCTCGCTTTCCAACCGTTTCCCACCCGCCGCCACCGCCGGTTTGATTCTCGTCCAAGGGACGCCGACTCAACGGCCCCTTACACCCTATATTCAGGATACCCATCTGCAGCCATTATCCCATTATCCTACAGGATTCCGCCCTTGTCGGGCTTTCTTCTTCGGGTACAAACGCGCGCCAATTCCGCCAAACGTCATCCGGTCCCCCAGCCACCTCTACAAAGTCCGATTCTCCTGCCGTCTCGACCACAAGACGCATCGCCTATTGTACCATATCCCGCGCACCCCTGACGCCGGGCCAGCCACCACACGCCAACGCCAGCACCAGCACCAACCCCAATCTGCTGTCGCCGTCAGCCGCTGCATCTACTTCTCTGACAAGCCGGCCCCGTACACTAAAGCCCTGCAATCGCTGACACGGCCGATGCAACCACACCAAGTCTACCGCTTGTGACTTTCCGATCGGTTGCTCCCTTTACTTTCCTTCTTCTTCTTCTTCTTCTTTACCTCCCTTTGTTCACGAAATACCAAGCCTTTCCGGCCGCACCTCATCATCAAGTGCCGTCCTACTTCGTTTCTTTGTGCTTGGGACGCCCCTGGTGGAGCGGCGCGCTAGAAAGCTCTGGCCACATGCTCTCATGGCCTAACGCCAATCGCAAGATTGCAAATATACCTATAAATGGCTACTGCTATTTCCCATGGCCGACCGGATTGACGAACGGGCCTCATCCCCCAAAGATCGTACCGCACCAAGAGAGAATTGCGGGGAAGAAGGGGGTGGAAGCTTTGGACTCGGACAGGGACAGTTCCCGAACTGAGACAACCATGGTCCTTGCCATTCGCTGAACCAGATCACGCACACCAACCTCCCCCAGGAGCCTCAGCCGCCGCTCCATCTGTATCTGTGATGTAAGAGGCCATTTCAGCGCAAGCTTCGGCCATTACACCGCAGTAGAAGGCTTCCATACGGGACCCATTGAGCCTCTCTGATTTGATGATGATCGACTCACCTAGCTCATCCCTGTCAGCTTCTCGCCGTCTTCGACCTAGGAACCTAGGTAGGTGTTCAACCGATGTCGCAAGGCGCAAACCTAAGACAATGCTTGGATGGGCATATGCATTTGATCCCTTCTCTTGTCCTGCAATGATTTTCCCATTGTGTCCGAGAGTGTCCTCGACACCAAGATGCTGGCAGACTTTGAACTCCTCGAAACCGCCCAACGTTTGTTTCTCTTGACCTCAAGAGGTCCCCCAAAAGATTCATCGGCACGTAATCCCGCTTCCTTTATGACGTTTTCGAGTCGACGTCGGAGCTCTAGCACGTGCCAAACATCAGACGGAATCTCGGTTCGTTTCGAGTCTCCTCTCTTTGTGCCTTGCACGGCCGAGATACGTATCTTGGACTGTCGAGGCTTTCATGCAAAATTCATGCATCTCCAGCTTGCGCCCGCCGCAAATGCCTGCTGTGTATGCTCGGTGTGTTCGCTAACGCTACATGATTTTCTGTGTCCATATGCTTGACGGCTCTCATGCCTGACATGCAGCCTTGGTGGCGATGTCAATCCCTCGCTCGCGATCGGACCAAGGCAGCCCTCGAACTTTGGTGGTTTCTAGCTAGGCTGTCTGCGCAAAGGGTCGGATTCGCGCAGGCGCGTGGTTACACACCGTTTCACGTAACGTATCGCAACCCAGCTGAGCTTTTTCTCATCAAACTGGGTTGCTCCGCAGTGCGGCCGTACTCCGTAGCAAGAGTCTACAGAGGGGGTACGTCGGCAGAGTTCTGCGGGCTTCTTTGCGCTCCTCTTCGCGGGGAGCTCGAGGGTCCCCGGTACATTCGACTGCCAAACAGGGCTTGGTTCAGATGGAAAACCCGGGCCCATGTGGACGGAGAGTCGGGGTCTCCCGCCGGACTGAAAGCCCGTACGCAGCTGTTCGCCGCCTCTGGGGACTGGCACATGTCTTCTGTTCCCATGATTTGACTGCCGTGTAAAAATAGGGGTCATTCGACTGCCTTGCTCGGGGTAAACAGGGGGGGGGGGGGGGGGGTCGTCGCCCCATTGCTGAAGCTGCTGTCGGCGTAGTTATCAGAGCAGTCGCCAAGGGCAGGGCTGAAATCAGGCGACGTTTTCTGGGAGGGAAAACCGTGTTTTCATGGAGAGAAGGGCGTTCGTTCCATCACTATGGCCCGCGCTTTCTCGCTCTCAATGGTCGCCGGCCTTGGGTGTGATCTTCAACGTATGGCTCCCCAGACGAGCATCGTCCTCTGTTGCTGCCGGAAGGCTGTCTCGGCCATTGACTGTGTTACCTTTCATGGCTCGCCATAGATGCTCACTTCCGTTCGGACGGTTGGTGGCGGGGACAAGACTCGGTTGGTCGTTGTGCGGTCGTAGTAATGGTCGCCGGCCTCGATTTTATACCCGGGCTTTTCTTCTCTCCCCCCCTCCCCTTCTCTTCATCCACGACTGACACAAATCTTTGAACGAGACTTGCCACGGCCCTGTTCAAAGTGTGCTCCTGGACCGACGGCTCATGTGCCGTAGGAGTATCGTCTGTTGTTGCTGGAGAGCATTTGGGCTGCCGAGGACTGTGTGCCCGGGGACACAGGGCATATATTGTCATGTCACGGCCATGTCAGGTTCGTATCGGGTTAGGAGGTGAGTTGTTGGTCACTTGGACTTAGGGTTGGACTTGACATGTCTGCCGTTGTTGCCTTGTTTTGCTCCGCCGTTCTAGGATACGGCGGTTCCCTCGTCTCCTCTCCAGGTCTTTGCAGTTTCCAACCGCAGGTCTCGTCGATGGAAGTAGATATCGTCTCCGTTTTCCATCCGGGGCTTTCGGGGCTCGTGGAGAAACACGTCATGGCTCTCCGCTTGCAGACGTGTCCTTACGAATTTCTCCAATGGACAATTGCTGACTTCTTGTAGGTTTTTTTTTGGGGGGGGGGGTACTCGCAGAGCGCTCGCCTGCATATGTTTAGCTGAGAGATGCCTCTCAAGACGTCGAATGTGCAGAGGGCAACCTTTGACTTTGGGGCGATACCATCCGGCGCAAATCGTGTGTTAGTATAATGGGAGTTGATCTGCAGGCTTTCGTACGGCGAGATGCCGGAATGACTACTGCGGCGACTTCATCTAGGAGAAGGTATCTACCCCTCAGAAGCCAATATGCAGTCCATGTCGCTCGAGGCACATTCGAAGCCGTTGCATAACGCAATGACGGGGGAGATTAAGCATGGTTTCGCCACAGGGCGAGGACGAGAC